TCTTTACAGAAGCTGACTGTCTCGTCTTTCTCCCATGGAGTGGCTGATGGTTTCAAACAGCTGACCTTATGATTAACAGCCGAATGCTTTAACCACAGCGCCACCAAAATGCCTTGCACCCAAGGGAGGGAGTATTTCATGGAATCCCTGCAACCATGTCAGTTACCACCACCATTATGCTAATTTTGTAAATGAGAAAACAGAGGCTTGGAGACCTCAGTCTGTCCTTAGCTGGCATGGAGCTGGTCCCCAGCTCATGGGGCCCCACGCACAGCAGAGCAAAGCTGGGCCTGGGCTGTGCCATCCCACGAGCAGCCGCAGGTCAGCTGTCGTGCCCCAGGTTTTCACAGGCCAGCTTCCCACCCCGTCTTAGTCTGGAAGCTCTGCTGAATCCTCTTCTGGGGGAGTTTGTACTTGAGGAGCACCGGCCAGGAGTTGAACCCGGATCGTCCGCGTGGGGAAGGCAAGAGTTCTGCCACGGAGCCGCCACTGCCTCACTTAAGGAGCTATGACGTTTCAGTTTTTAAGACGGGGAGGCTGAACCCAGACAGAGTGCCTTTGGAATGCGTCAAAATCCTACTCTGACTTCAAGGCCAATTCAAGTGTCCCAAGTTCTTCTTGACACCTTCTGCGGCCCGTCACCTGGGAAGGCACCCCCCTTGTCTGTGACGGTCTCTGTAGTCTCCGACATGACAGAGGGCTCTGTTTGTCAGTCTTGCCCAAGCAGCCTGGGCCCTCCCTGGAGCCTGGGACGCAGCCTTGTTCATCCTGGACCGGCCAGGCACCAGCTTGTCCTAGGCCCTGCTGGTGCTCCGCAAACATTTGTTACTTTGGATTCTCTGTTTAATTCTCTATTTCTGCATTTCCCCGGCGCCTCGATAATTACTCTTTCTCTTTTAAATGCCAAGCTTGCATCAGTTGAAAGGAAAAGAGGACTTTTTTCTTTAAACATTTTTTTTGTTCTGAATCCAAAGATATATATATATATCCATTTTGGAAAAGTTGAAACTCCAGGACAGCCCAGGAAGGAAAGCTACCGACTCCTCCACCAGATTCTCAGCTGAGGTGCCGTGACGGTTCTCTGCTGTGCGGGTACCGTGTGCAGACAGGACAGGTAGCAGCTTCCCTAGCCTCTGCGCACAGATGCACACACACACACACACACACGCGTGACAACCAAAAATATCTGCAGACTATGCCAAATGTCCTGTGGGCCCAAACCACCGGCAGCAGAGCACCACTCTCCTACCCACAGAGACAAGGAACACCAGGCAATCTACTTCCGCAGACATGCCGCCTCGGAAACCCAGGGAGGGGTCACGAGGAGTCAGAATTGACTCCAAGGCAGTGAGTTTGGTTATTTTTGGTCTTATGTCGCTCTCTTACCTGGAAAGAAGGCCCCCGGTGCCACAACAGGTTTCAGCCCATCCATGGCACCACGGAAGACAAGCCTGGCAACCTGCTTCCACAAAGATTACGGCCGAGAACACTCTATGGGGGTGGAGCAGCTGCAGTCTGCAGGCCGGCGGGGTCACCAAGGGCAGCATCCACTCGACAGCAAGGGGCGTGGTTTGGATTGTCTGGCAAACGGCTCTGTGCAGCTCCGAGGAGATGGGACCAGGACGCAGCTGGGGCTTTGTGTGGTTGGTAGTTGCCGGGGAGTCGGCCCCAACGCATAGCAACCCCACGCACAACAGGCCACTGGGGTCCACAGGGTTGCTATTCGTTGGTTTGAGGGAGTAAATTGCCAGACCTCTCCTCCTAGTCTTAGTCCAGAAGCTCTAGTGAAACCCGTTCAGCATCCGAGCAACATGCAAGGCTCAGCTGGCAGAGGGGCTGGGACGGCCCACGAGACGCACCGACCGGGAACCGAACCCGGGCCTCCCACATGGAAGGTGAGGACTCTCCCACGGAGCCGCCACTGCCCTCTAAGTTGGCACAGGGGTGATGACATCAATGGGGACGGGGACATGCGAGAGGCCAGCAATGGGTCGGTGGTGCCAGGCTGACGCGTGAGGGCAGCAGAGGCCAAGGGCAGTTCCCCGCAAGAGCCTCCTCTCTGGAGCCAAAGCCGATGGAGACGTTTCCTTCTTCAAAAATATCTTCCAGCCATTTCCCCACGTCCCACAGCAAAGCCAGCGTCGTGGCATTCTGATTTAAGGCAGGAACGGTATTTCCCAACAGCTAATCAAACTTGGCTACAGATCTCCAGATCTCGCAGCTATTTCCAGCGAGATGCCGTCCACAAAGGGCGAGGTCTGCCCCCGTGAGGTCACTCGAAGGAATGTGCTGCCCGCAGCAAAAGCAAGCCCAGAGGAGGGAGCCGGTGTGTAACCCTCGTGACTCTGGGCCCATGCGGCCCGGCCTCTGGGCTCCACTGCGGTCAAGGCCACAGAAGACAACTCCGGCTCTTGACTTGCCTTTTGCCAAACCCTGTGAAGCTGAGCCAGACGCCACGGGGATTCTGTGAGCACCCTTCTCCCACCCACATCCCCGAGGACCCACAGCTCCCCACGTCCCCCTCCTCACCCCATATCCCTCCACACCACCCCCCTTCGCAGGAAGGGAGACAGAAAAGGGGGGCCTGCTGAATGTGGAGGAGGGTGGGGCACCGGAGAAAACCTCCCCATCAATCATTTTTTTTTTCCGAAGACCCAAGAGGCCTAACTGATGTTTGCCTTGTTTTGGTTACTGCCAAAGCCCCCGGTGTCACTCTGGCATTGCTGGCGCGGCCATTCTCAGGGTCTAACTTGTTTATTTCACTCCTGCTCTCTGCCTGCCTTCTTCTCATCTCCTTGCAGACACATCCTTACTGTTTTTAAAGATAAATACATATAACATAAAACTTGCCATTCTGACAACTGGGCTAAAATGTGCGGCTCTGTGGCATTACGTCCACTCACCGTTCTGTGCCACCATGACCACTACCCATTTACAAACTTTGTCACCACCCCAAGCCGACTCGTTAATAACTGTGAACCGAATGCAGTGAATCCTTCGTACCCGTGTGTGTCAGACCACGCCCCCAGGACCAACACCAGAACCAAACTCACTGCCGTCGGGTCTATTAGACTCACAGCGACCCCTCTGTGGGTTTCTGAGGTGGCATCACTACAGAAGTATATTGCCCAACCTTCCTTCCAAGGAGTGGCTGGTGGGTTTGAACCGCCAGCCTTCTGGTTAGCAGTAAGTGCCTTGGGCACTGTGCCCCCAGAGCTCTCCTCTAGGGCTGTCCAGCTAATTTATTGGAAGGAGATAGCCAGGCCGTTCTTGGACAAGCCTCTGTGTGGACTGGAACCTTCAACCTTTCACTTAGCAGCCCAGCATGTAACCCCACCCAGGGAACTAAGGAATCCTTTAAGGAGACCAATTCATCTCAGTTTCCTTGTATTGGTTAGAAGTTGGTCCTGCTGTTTTTGGTCCCAGGCCTCTGTGTTGCCAGGCCTGTGTTGTGTCAGTGAATTCCTGGAACGTGGGGACCATGTGTTTGGTGATTTTGTCTTGATACCACACCCACCCGGGGCCATTTGTTAACACGATTTCCCTCTTCTCCAGGGCTCATCTGGTGGGTGGCTGTCCTGGGTGAGAGCAGCCTAGAATCTCCTTGAGTTGGAAGAAGTCTTAGAAGATGAGTCCAAGGACCATGCAAATCAGGAATTCCCTCTCAGTGGGCAATTGGATGCAGGCATGGTTCACAGGACGCCCAGGATTCACACAGCATCGTGCAAGAGCTCGGGAGGAAGTGACTCAGCCATGAACCAAACACGGTCCAGTGAGGGAGACACGTGTGTGCCTGACTGTAACTCAAGCCAGACTGGCCAGTGTTGGTCAAACTGTGCAGTGGGCAACGTTCAGGACCTTTGCTGCCCAGGGTGGCGATCACTAGCCACACGTGGCTGTTTCAATCAGCCAAACTAAACAAATTTAGAATTCAGTTCCTCGGTTGCACCAGCCTTTTTGAGTGTCTGATGGCCACGTGTAGCTAGTGGATGAAACAGGCTAGAACTGCCATCACCACTGGACGTTCCATTGGGCAGTCCTGTTCCAGACTGAAATGAAGGTGGTGGGGGAGGACGTAGGACCTGTGAAGAAAGCTGGCCAGAAACCTTCTCTCACATGTCTGCCCCATCTCGTCAGCAGCCTGCCTTCCACAGTGGCGCCTGAAGTCTCTCCTTTCCCCCGCTGGCCAGCACCCAATGCTCTCCAGGAGCGCTGGCTGTCTCCCAGACCTCCATTCACCCAAGAGCTCCCCAACCCTGCCACCCCGGCCTCACACCCGTTCCTCCCACGGCTCCTCCTCATCTCCTCTCAACCCGAGCAGAAGCCCTGGCTTGCCCCTCTCAGTTTCACATCCAATGGAATTCCCTGTTGAGAAGCTTGGGGTTCTCCTGGTGCAGCAGGAGAGCTCCCAGATCCAGATACTGGGGTGCCAAGAAAGGGGGAAGCACACATGGGGGTGTTCCTCGGGTCCTGATGACCATCGGGGTTTCCTGGCACACGACACCTGCTGACAGCCCTCTTACCTTCCTCCATCAATCACAGTAAGCGCCCATTGACCAAAGTCCTCTGAGTCGGGCAGGAGGGTGACTTCCAGTTAATAAATGATGTCTGTTCACCCCTTCCAGAGCCCATTCAACATCTTCTTCTCCCCTCTATCACTGGGCGAAGGCAGGCTGCAGAGACAGGCCTGGTAATACATTCTCCAACCTCAGCCCACAGAAACCCTGGGAGCACAGAAGATGATTGCTGGTGACTTGGACCTCCGACCTTGGACACAGCATCAGAAGGGACCTGTCTCTGGAGAAGGACATGCTGTTTGGTAGAGTGGAGGGCCAGCAAAGGTAAGGGAGACCCTCAGTGAGATGGGCTGGTACCGTGACCACAACAGCGGACTCAGACATAACGAACAGTCGTGACAGCAGCACAGGGCTGGCCAGCATTTCGTTGTTTTCATGGGTCACCATGAGTCACAGCCAACTTGGTGGCTTCTAACAACAACATCCTAATTGGGCAGCTGGTTCAGACTCTCCCTCTGTACCCCCAGAAGAAGCTGCAGGGAGACAGGACCCCTTCTTAAAGAACCCCTGGTCAGTCGGAGGTGAGCAATGTCTTTCCCAAGAGATGTGGGTGTCATAAAGCTTGTCTAGTCTCTGAACCTCCCTTTTCCAAGAAGCTGCTCTCTCTTGGAGAATGGGGCCCTTTAGGGTTTGGGATTTACTTGGTGCCCTTCAAAGCCCCAGTTCTTCAGTGGTCACTTGCCAGTTTGTAAGCAAATGTATACTTTTCCCTGGATTAGGAGTGAGATCTGCCAAAACAGTGAAGACAGGTCAAGATTCTCCCATCCTAAACGTCACCATCCCCTCCCGGACCAGTGCAAGAGCAGCTCACCTAGAGCGGAGGGCAGAGAGCGGACCCAGTCCAGGTTTCTGCCCAGGCCCTGCAAACAAGGAGGCCACGTGGGATGCCAGGCACAGAGCCTGCAGGGACACCTGGCAGCCTGGTCTCTGGCTTTGGCTCTGTCCATGAAAACAAAGATTTCCTTGAGTGGAGCAGTGTCCTTAGATCACCTCCCAGCTGGGAGTGTTGGGCGGCAGGCAGCCCTGCTTCCAGAACTGGTGAGAGAAGAGGCTCTGACAGCTTGTGCCACGAGCCCGCTCTGCAGGTGGCCTGGCCCACTGCCGCTTTCCCAGT